GGTAAAGGCGCCACCGACCAACAACTGGCGTGCAGCAGCACAGCTGCTCGACCCAGGCGGCTGTAAAGGGTCCACAGGTATCGCACGGGGGGAAATAGGCCGAGAACAAAGCCTCAGCCAGCAGGGGCCCGGAGCCCCAGTCGAAGGGGCAAAGGGCCCGGCACTGAAATTAAAAGTGCTCCTACCTCAAAGCACAGCTTTCACCCATTGGCTCGAACCTTGCCGTGCATGCCACCACGCACCAAAACCGGCCAGACAGCCATGTGGCAGCTAATCTCCCGGCCAAGCCAGAACACCGAGATGTGCAACAGCATGCGGCTCCCGTTGCACGGATGACGCTGCGCCACTTGGGCATGTCACGCTCGGGGAGAGAGGGCTGCAACAAAAAGAGGAGGGTCGAAGAAGTTCGCGCGAGATGCTCAGATGCTCAACTCACTGGATGAACTCACAGCAGAGCTGAGTTTTCGAGGATGACATGCTGCGCCTTTCCATGGCCCGAGTCGGCAGCGGGGTTGCAGTCAGATCGTGTTGACTGGCAAGGTGGCCACGATCTGTGGTGTCGTCAATCAGTCTCGCTTTCCACGAGTGAACACTTCTGCAAGCGGCGGCGTCTGCGATGTCGAAGTGTTGCCAAGCTTGTTCGTTCGTTTGTTTTCGCGTCTTCCAGTTTGGGCGGAGGGTCTAGTTTCAAGCGAGCAAAGACGGTCAGGTCGCGGGCTTATCACGGTACCTCCATTGAGAAACATTTGGGGGTTCTGAGGCATGGAGTGTGTTTAGAGTGTTGAAATCAGAGAATGAGGATGCTGGCCATGAGTTGTGTTGGTTAGGTGAAAGGGTGTTTCAAGTTTAAGGAAGCGGAAATTTCTGTTCAGTCGCGGACTCCTGTCCGTGCAGCATGGCGGGTGGGATCATCGGCATTATCATTGAGCCTCATTTTGCATTCTATTCAATACCAGCTGAAAGCAGTCGCGGTTGAAGCAGCGGTTGCGACAGCAAGGACGTGCAGATGGGACATCATGAGCAGAGAAGTGTGATCTTTCAGATGACCGTTTTGAACGTGATGTTGGAAGCAGGATTTCGCAGAGAGTTATGCTGTATTGACGAACTGGTAACCGTGACAAGCCCCCAAGTCTTGTAAGTGGTGATCGGTGACATTCGGTGACTATGCGTGTGGACAGCCGAAGCCGCTGGGCCCGAGGCGAGGCTGAGCTGGCCCTGCAGGCTCATGCAGGCTCCAACGGATATCTGATGGATGCGAAAGCACTGGGCTTTCAGAGTGCTTTCGGCGCCGACCTGGTGTGGGTAACTTCTTCAAGAAGCACCGAGAATGTGAAGCGGTCCTGGCTGCCCCAATGTGAAACTCAAGTGGATGTCTGCCAGAACATGTAACATGTGGGCCCATGGCAGGACCAGGCATGGACCTGTCCCTGCTTGTGGGGTTCCTGGCCCCTGGTTTGTTACTCGTACGTTCAGCCCGTCCTTCGTGAAGCACGTGGTTCGAGGAAAGATCAAACCGAGGGAGGGGGTCAAGCCCGCTTACCACGCGCGGCTTGCTGGAGATCCTGCTCTTATGATGTGTCGCTTGCCCAAGTTGGGCCGGCTCAGAATGGTCTAAAGCTGTGGTCAGGCCAAATACCATGGCCTATCCTTTCAAACGACCGCGAAATCCTTCACCTGCGAAGCCGGCACGGGCTGTACAGCGTCCTGTCCTGGCGATTTTGTTCACCGGTCAGAATATACATAGCGCAGCCAGAAGATGATCGGTTGTCATAGCCATTCAGGAAACATGCGATGAGGAGAAATTGTCCTTGAATGAGTTAGTAATGCATGTGACCCTCTCCTGCTGTCTTCCGGGCTTTGGCCTTCAGCTGTGGATTGTGCTACGTTGGCAAACGGGAGAGACCAAGACTAGAATATGTTTCGGCAGAATTTGATTATGACTCTCACGATTCATCTTCCATAGTCAATACCGAATTGATGTTATGACACGCGCCAAGCCCAACCCAAACTCCGTTGAATTCTCCTCAGCAAGTCGGGCCAGCCCGGCGTAGAATGGTGAAGCGGAGCTGCTCTCATATGCCAGATAAGGTGCAGCCAACGATTGGTTCTGGCTCTGACCTTCAGCTCGCATCTAAGTTAAGCAGTTTTCATGAGTTCGTCGGCAAGTTCTGATCGCAGAGAGCATGGGCCTTCAGGCCCTCAAGCTGGCTTCTCTTCCGCAAGCATTCAGCCGCAGATGGCGCCTGTAATTGCACTAGCAGCTGGCGATCGGCTTGTCTTTCCAAATTTCTGCAATTTCTTTGCCGTTTGGTGCATGCTTAGGTGCCGCTGGACATGGCTCCTGAACATGACTCGTGCGACGTGGACAACGTGCGACCCCTGGAGTTGGTCTTCAACCGTGGCGGTCTGACCTGAACCAACTGCCAAGTGAGTGCTCGAGACATGCCATGCGGGAGCCAAAAAACTGGAGCTCTTCCTTGTCAAGGTGCACATGCCGCTGCTACTGGCCTGGAACTTGGTTGTGTGGCACTCGCTCGCAAGCTCTCTTGTCTTAACCAACGGTCTGAACATGCGCGTGTGATAGGTTCGTTGCCGTTCAGTAGCATTCTGCAGCTTGAAGCTTCAGCGACATAGTCGTGCGATCGACACAGGAGATCTTAACAGTTGCCGCATTTGGCCACACTACCAGTAGCGGTGTTGGGGAGTGAGCTCGAACACTTGATCCGAAGCAGCAACTTGAAAGGGGCTAGCTTGCCTTGACGGCTTCGGCACTTCTCATTTTCAGGGCTAAGCAACGTGTATGCAAGGGTGCTCACTTCTGGAGCAAGCAGGATTGTAACTTGGAGTGAATATATAATATGTCCGACAATCCTGAATCCAACCCGCCCGCCGTGAAGTTTAATCTTTAACTTCACAGACCCAAGAGAAATCGTGGACCTGGCAGCTTGGGTTTCTTCTGGGGAATGTTGCAGTGCTGCAACAGTACATGATCCATTGCCGTAGTCTGGCTGCCATTCATGTTTTGGCCGGCAGGATGGGTCTTTGTCGTCCCATGACGATGACCTGGCGCAGGCTCCGCAGGTTTGCTAGATGCTTGTCATCTACAGGCACAGGCAGCACTAGAAAGCACATTTCAGAGCTGCAAATTGATTAGCAGAGGTTGTAAGCTTGAGGGCATCACTCGCGCAGTGCAAATTTGCCCTCGGCTGTGCCGCTTGTGGGATCAGGCCATCCGCCTTTCGCTGACATCCCCGCAAGGCAACACTGCGGAGGCCCAAGGATCGAAACAGACCGATGTCAAGTCGACTGAACATTGGCAGCACTGGGGTTACTGGACATCGCGAGTCTGTCAGCTCTGCGCTCGTACAGCAAGCTGACAGGCCAGAAGGCTCTTGGACAAGCGAACCAAGGCTGGCTGAATCATGCTGAACGCTTTGCGATTCCGTCCTTTCAACGAGTTCCTGGGGCAGGGCATCGTAGCATCCCTCCGCACAGGACATCTTTGCAAACTATCGTGGTCAGGGTATGGCTGAGATCTTAGTGTGACACAAGTAGCAGAGTCGGATGTAGGGCCTCTCGACGTGCTCTGTCACGACAGGCGCCAAACGAAGCTGCGTCTCGCGCAGCTCGAGAGGTCGCGGCAGGGATTCCTTGTGGTTTGGTGGGCCGTCGTTCTTTCAGCCCCAGTCAACTACCACCAGATGGAACTAAACCGTTCATGGCCCGTAATGATTCTAATTTCGTCATCGGCCGCAGGCACGCCAAGAGCTCGGACTGGTCTAGCAGCCGCCGGCAATGAGGTGGGATAAGGAATGGAGAAGGCAGAGCCCAATTTCTAAGACCGTAAGAAGTACAGAAACGTGTAAACTTTTGTAAACGAACAGCATCGCACACATGCAAGCCCCAGAAGAGGTGTTTCACACTGTAGGCACAGGAAGCTCCACAGATGGGACAGAGTCAACCCTGTACAGGATTTCTGTGGGGCCAGACACCCGTAGGCTTTAGCAACAGGGATCTGCTCGGAATGGTGAGGCAGAGCTAGCAAGAAACCGTAGCATCTGGGGTGAGCAGAGCCCTGAATAGAATGGTCCTGCCACTGGTGCAATCGACGAGCATGTGATGGTTTGTATATGTTTGTATCTACCTCAATCATCAATCTACCTCCGGTTCGATACAGCCTGCCAAAAGCTGTTGCACGACACATGCAACGGTGGATCAATGGCCAGAGGGTTCTCCATGAGCCCAGTTTTCGTTGATCTTGTTGTATCCGACTATCGATGGCAGACCAGAGGGAGAAAAACTGTTCTCGGAGGAGTAAGGTAAGCCTGGTCCTTGCAGTTGGTTTCGCACGATTGTGCAGCATGCTCTTCTAGCAGCTAGCATGAAAGCAGACCGGTCAGAGAATGCTTCAGACAGGCCCTTGCCCTCACATCTCCGCTGTCTTTTGGAGGCAAGGGCACTCAATCGAAAACGTCGTCTAACTTGAAGGCAGCTTGAAGGGTCCCGTTTTTTTGGTGCCTGGAGGCACGTCGGCACTCTTTCTCTCCGTGTCCTCGATCCTAGGCACTCAGAAGGAGCCAGGCGATGAAGCAATGTATTTAGGGAATCCCGACCTCGTTCCCAATGCTGCGGGCTCTTTGGCAGTTTCTCGGGTTTGGATCCAGGGACGGCAGACCCGCCTCTGTCGGATTATTGTTTACGAACGCCCCCGCTCGTTTCGTCGCGCCGTGCAGCGCAGAAGGGGATGTGTCAGGCATTCCTGGTGGGCCACCCTAATCTCCGGCAGGATGGTTACAAGTACGGCATTTGTGCCGACTCACTGGTATGATGCGTGCGGAGACAGGACCGTTTACTCTCGGTTCAACAGGTGGAGAAGGTTTGGAGAAGGGACTCAGCAAAAGTCGCTTTTGCAGCCAGCCCGCAACCTTTGACTCCACGGACTTATGAGTGGATTCGAATGTTGAGCTTCTCAAGCCGCGTGCACAAACTAGAGCATCAGCATGTCGCTGCCCTCTGATGCATCAAAGCAAGAGTTCCTCAAGCAGCGTGAGATGCGCAGGGAGCTCGGTAAGCCTCCTCCACTTTTCGAGGGCTTTGTTCAACCGCGGCCGGCGGTCTTTCAGAACCAGTTGCCGGTCTGGGTGAGCACAAGGGCCCAGTGCCCAGTGCAGGCAAGGAGCACTGGTTACGAAGCTTCTGTGAGGACAGAACATGCCTTAAGACTGTGCAGCTAGGACATGCTAGGATTATCTAGGACTCAGTGGATTCCACTACCGCAGGAAGATGCCGAACACCGGCAATTGCTGCACTGGCTGCTCGAAGAAGGCCTTAGCCGACCGGAGGACTTTCAGGACGCCATGGCATGCCCTAGCCATCCATGGCCTTGAGTAGGTTGACGGCACATGTACCGCATCGACCATGCAGGACAGGGTGCATCACGCACACCGCTTGCGCGAGCTCGGCAACAAGTGGTGCGCTTCTGAGTGGGTGTGCTGGCTGGTAGGCGCAGGAATGGAATGGTACGGATGTGGATTGGTGTAGGGCCTAGGGATGCTGACATGCATTGCGTTGTCTTTGCTGTCTAGTCAAAGCAAGGTACATCGACCTTCTGACAAGCGTAAATAAAAGCAGTGCATGCATGAGGTATCGGTCAGATGACTTTCGCAGGGCCTTGCATTGCAACTTGGGCGCCAGTTTCTCAGACAGAATCGGCACATTTCTTTTGGTTTTTGCTATAGGGACGCTTGAAACTGGGGCGTTGCTTTTGCTGCGGGCTTCACAGGATTGGCTTCAGGACGTTGCAGGTCCTTGCAGGCGGCATCCCGACAAAAACCCACAGCGAGAAAGAAGAAAAAAGACATGCGCCCCCCGGCAATGACCGCGAACAGAAACAGAGGCACCCCTGCCACCCGAAAACCAGAATGCCTATAGTCGTACCTGACCGCAACACGGTCAACACCCCACGCGTTTCCGCGTAATTCCTCGTAGTGAGCAAGAGTCTAGTGCCGGATGTGCGGCGCCCCGGCTTGCGCAGAGGCCATTCACGCAGTGGACTTCACTCCGCACGAACAGATGGACATGACAGATGAGCAGAGGCCATGCGAGGTATTGCTGTAAACTGTCATTCTGCTTCTGGAGCTGGATTCGTTCATCCTGGTTTGCCTATGCTCGCCTGACGACAGGCTTGCTGTTGCACGAGAACTGTTGCCAGTTCTCAGCAACCTGGCGCAAGTCTTCTTGAAAAGAGGCGACTTTGGCAATGTTGTCAAGGCGCTTGCTGCAAACCGCTCTGCTGCGTTGTCTACTCAAATAGGCCTGTAAAATTGCATGTCTTGAGCATGTATGGTCTATTTTTCCGTCGCCGCAGCTTCAAACGCCAAAGGCAGTTGACTATTCAATGTTTCACCTGCACATAAGTTTAGTCACACCTACTCGCAGACACGATGCAATCATACAAAACTTGCGATGCTTCGGTCAGGCAGCACACCTGGGCTTGCGAAATGTAAACAAGCTGCCCGGCGACGAAGCAGATACGCACGGCCCTCGGCGCTCTAGCCTGCAGGGGCTGGAGATCTAGGCATGGGCCAAGGTTCAAAGCAAAGCTTCGCTACCGCAGAGCTCTTGCACTGGGGGAGCCAGGCCAGAAAGGACCAGCAAATGCGAAAAAAAGCCTTGAACATCTCAAAACACCCGGTGCCGGAAGCAGCTCTGCCTGTGCAATTGCATTCTGCTTCGACATGCTTCATGCTCCTTTGCTATGTTGCGAATGTGGTTTGGAGTGGGCTTTACCCCCTCTTGCTGAGGATGAGTAAGCCGGGTTTTGCTACGAGCAAACATACCAACGAAAGCCAGGTGCGCAATATTTTCTTTATCATTGCGACCCGGTTAATTGTTTTTTCAGCATCCGGGGTGGTGCTACAGACTTGTAGTCTTCCAACAATGCGATCGGCCAGCGATAATCCAACCTTTCCAACCCCAACCACAAGTCAACAGAGAGCCAATTCACAACGTGGGGCCCCCGTAATTTAGAACATTCGTATTGCCGCCGATACGTACACAGCAAAGAAGCCGCATGCACAGACAGACATCTATACATACATAGTCTGACATACATGCTTACATTGAGAGTATTCATGTATGCACACCTGTGACACTTCGGATGCTTGCTTCCGTCAGCATGATTGTGTGTCCACTCTAGTGTCTGGACTCACTCTGGTAGGTCCGGAACATAATCTGGAAAGTTCCTTGGACGACTTGCGGGAAGCGGCACGACTGATGCCGACAAGTGCCGTTCTTGTTTTATTGAAGCTGGCCGTTTTATCATATCAAGCCAAGATGCTAGGTACCGAGATCCGAAGTTGTCTTCATAAATGCAAAGAACTGCTACACAAAGTGGGGCCCTCAGTAACTCACAAGAAGTCTGACCGTGTCGGTCGATGCTCTCTGCTCGTTCCTAGGCCCTTACTTTCTTAGGCTTGCTAAGCTTCTGCCATGCGCTTTCTGCGTCGACACAGCAGGAGCCTGGGGGCCGTGCCGAACGTGCCCAGGCCCAGGCCGAGGCCGAGGCCGGGGGAGTTACCGAGGAGGGATTTGTTGTTGCAAAGACGCTTGGCTTGGAGCCTCCCTTGGCTCTTCAGCGTCAGGAGACGCAAATTTCGGGCCACGGCGCCGACCAGAAGCCACCGGCTCTCTCACCTGCCTTGGAGATGTTTGCCAAATGTGCTTGGAACTAAGGCGCTGGTAAGTCCAACCCACCGACAACGCACTGTGTTCAAGCTTAGCTTTCCAAGGTCGGGCGCGGCCTTGCAAAGCTCATTCAATGTTGGACCTGCTTACAAAAAGCGCGTGGTGGCAGGACGGGTTTGCAGGAAAGCCCGCTTGGAGTAACTATAGTACCTGGTAGAGTCTGCGGAACTTTGGCATTCAAGAGACACAGGGGCAGTGCTGGCAGATGTTGGCAGGATAAGTGCCAACCTATGGAGATTTGGCTTCGTGGCGCTTTCGTCAGCGCTGGTTATGGCGCTGACCCACGTGCTTTTCGCGAGATAAAATGAGCATCAAGGCAGCAAGTCCTGCAGGGAGCATCGAATGGCCAAGCAGATCCATGCATGATTGCCCGCAGCCGCGCAATTGAAATTCGCTTGCGAGCATGTATAGCCTCAAACGCGTGGCATGGAACATCTTGCGGTGGAGAGATTGAAGTTCTCGAGATGCCTCATCCCAGTTTTGAGATGCTGGTTGTAGGCAGCACATATTGTAGCCCACATTCGGTTCGGCACTTGTCCGCTTGGGGAGTTCATTCTGTATGGAACGCGTCGTGGGGAAATCTGCCGGTTCCGAAGTTCATGGCGCCTCCGGAGTCAATCAGAAGTTGAGCGCAGCGGCAGCTGATTCATGATGCATGCCTTTGTCGAGATTGTTTCCGCTGCGCCGGCTCTTGAAACGACCTGGCTGGCGGAGCTTCACGGATGTCTCCAATATCGTCGTTTCTCAACATCAAGGTGCAGTTCCGAAAAAATCTCTTTTCCGAAACAGCTTCGATTCCTGACTTCAGGCTGGGCATGTCACGTTCCTCTGTAGCAAAAGCACCAAGGCAGCAAAAAAGTGGCGGGAGACCTATCGGCAGCTGTTCCAGGCAAAGGTTTGCCAAGTGTGTCAAATCCTCCAAAAGTCTCGACAGTTTCGAGGTGCAGATTCTTGCCCAAGTGCGTCCAGTAAGACCACTTGGGCGACGTTAAATGCAGTTTCAGGTTTAACCCTGGGTTTGACAAGAGGGGTTCGGTCAAGGCGTTTTCTTCTATGCCCTCCGAACCTGCTGCAGGTGAGCAACTAGAAAGCAGTTAGCAAAGGATGCCGTTCACTCGAAACTTCAAGCCCTGAATACATGCGCCCAGAAGTCAGCGCAGTTGAGGCTTCCCTGCACAGCATGCCAACACGACACA